ACAGAAGAGAGTCGGTTCCACTATACTTGAAGAGATTAACGATTGCAGAGAGATTGAGAAGTATATATATGGTACTTCACCATCCGACCTAACTCTAATCCAATATAATAAAAAATATGATTACATACTAGCTAGGTCCATAACAAAAACACAAACGTGTATATATAAGTCCATACATCGGAGCAAGCTCTCCCGAACTCACTTATCGAATAGCAAAATCCCATGACTTTTAGTCGACGACAAATAATCCGATTCAGTTGCCAAAAAGCAGTCGTCATGCTATATAAATTCAAAAGATGTACTCATCAATTAATTTGGGTGGAAAGCCCCGTTGCTTGTGCTCCTCCCATATTGGGAGGTTGGCATAGTCCACGTTCCAACGACTATGCATCACTCATTATTTTAGGGTTAATTGCAATCTTGGTCAATGAAATTATTAAAACGTTCATATTTGGTCACTAAAAATATTTAATTCCATTCGTGGTCACTAACTTTATATATTCGTTTCACAATGGTCACTCTCCGTTAACATCATCCTAGGTGACAGTCAACTCTCAAAGTTGACCGTTAAATATGTGACGTGGCAATAAATATATTAATAAAAAATAAAATAAAATATTTTAAAATTTCCACATCATTATCAAAATTATACAAAAATGAAAAATGAAAACTATTTTGTTAAATCTTCGCCGGTCGCCACCGCTGCAACAACCAGGACCCCACAGCCGCGTCCCCTGGCCTTTGAGAGGCTCAAGACTGGCTGGATCTGCCTCTCCCTAGTTTATTCTGGCGAGAGAATAGCGGCAGCGAGAGAAGGTGTTGCGGGTTAGGTCCAACGAGAAGCTGAAGACTAGCCGGAGCGCTGATCTTCGAGTTCATCCAAAGAGAAGCCGATCAAGACCAGATTAACGACTAGGAAGACAAGGAGGAGCTCGAAGCAGTGGCTGAGGTTCTGTACGCAGCACCTAGTTGAGGAGTAAAAAGTTGAAGCGGATCTGCCTCTTCCTCGTTTTAATCCGGCGAGACGTACCGACAACGGGAGAAGAAAATGTGTCCCCAATTGGCTCCCAAAAGGGAGAATCTATTGGGAAGAAGGTGATGCGGGTTAGGTCAAACGAGAAGCAAGTTATAATACAATCAACTAACTTCAAATTAAAGCAAAGGAACAAGGAAATTACTACTGTTGAAGCGAGCCATGGCTGCAGAGAGACGGCGTAGGGAGGCAACTGGAAGAGTAATGGATTGAAATTAAATGAGTGACGGTAGGATGCGCTACGTATAGAAATTGAAGCGCTCCGGTCAAGCCTTCAGCTTCTCCACGGCTAGAGACGTGGCGGCGGGCCCCTGGTGGTTGCAACAGCTGGGAGGATTAAAAGGGTACTTTCCATTTTTCATTTTTTTATAATTTTGATAATGAGGTGGAAAATTTAAAAAAATAAATAAATAAAATTTTTAATTGCCACGTAACACATTTAACGGTCTACTTTGACAGTTGACTGTCACCTAGGATGAAGCTAACGGAGAGCGACCGTCGGTGAAACGAATATATAAAGTTAGTGACCACGAATGAAATTAAATATTTGTAGTGACCAAATGTGAGCATTTTTAATAATTCTAGTGACCAGTCTTGCAATTAACCCCATTATTTTATAATGTATGAGTACAAATGTACAATGAACATGCTCTCTAAACTAAAGTCGAAAAAACACGTTTAGTTTGCAATTTTGAATTTTCGTGTATGAAAACCTCTGTTTTAATAATCGGATAGGACAGTGAACCGAAAAAGTTATTGATTTAGGGTTTAGTGGTTAACCGCTACAAAATCGTTGATAAAACTGTTCATGATATATAATACAAGACTTATATAATAACTTTAAGAATAAAGTTATTATTGACCATAAACAATTTTAAATTCATATCTTCACCAAAATATCTAACAAATCATTCAAATCGTCTAACAAAAGAAATCATAATTTTTTTCATTCAAGTTAAAAATTATGGTGTCAATCGGTAGTGGACCATGTAAAGTCGACAATGAGGTTGAAATGAGAAGAGGAAGTATAAATAAAATTAACAATTCTGGTTTGATGGTATTAGTTTACGTTAAAGTATATTTTTTTAAAGAATTTTGTGATTAAAATAGTGAACCAGTAGACCAGTTAAACCGTGGTGGTTCATCTGGTTTTATGTTGAACCGTGAAAAAGCCGTATGGTCCATTAATAACCATCCAAGCAATATACCAGACCACTATGTTAACTAATTTGACGATTCTACTGGCCTATTCATTAATCCGGTTCGGTTCTTATAACAATGATGAAAACAGAAATCAAATGGATACGAAACTCAGTTAGTTGGTTCGAACTTTCGAATCCATGAACACCAGCCAGCTCGGTTTCTGTAGTTAACGGTTGACCCCATCCTAAATGGTACCATTAATTTGCAAGGCCAACTTGCAAATCACATTTTGTTATGGCCCTATCTAGGATCAATCACCTTTTTATTTATTAACTTATTCCAATCTTCGTCGCTGCAGATCTAATTTCAACGCCGCCACTTCTTGGTTTCATTGGATATGGGTTTCCTGGGTTTCATTCGAGATATTGGATTAATGAAATTTGAAAGAAGAGGGAGAAACAGAGGGGAGCCTCTCGAATTGATTGGTTTTGGGTGTTTGAATGGAGAAATTTTGGTTTTTTGTGCAGTTTTGGGGAAGCGATAGATCTGATATCGAAAGGGGTGCAGAATTTGGTGGTTCCGATCAAAGCTAGGCAGAGCTGGATGAGGAAAAAGCAGCAGCAACAGAAGCAGAAGCTGTCTTCTTCGACCAGACTTCCGTGGTCGTCGTCGATTGCGACGGGATACTGATGGGGGAGATTTCCCCCTTCGCTCTGTCGTCGTGTGACGAGACGGTGGCGGCTGCGATCACGACGCTTTCGGCTAGGGAGGAGAGGAGAGCGAAAGCGGCGAGGAAGAGGAGGACGGAGGCGGACAGAGCCTAGATCAACAAGAAGAGATAGTGGCCGCGGCGGCGGCAACGGAGGATGAGGCAAATCTGGTGGAGCTGAGCTGCGGCGGGGCAGTTGTAGTGATGATGAGGATGATGATGTCCGCCGTTCTTCTTCTTCTTCTTTATTTCCGATTGTGAAAATTGCAGAGGAAGTCGACGGCTTTTTTAGTTTTCCGGTTCTCTCTGGTTACCGCCAGTCAGTGTAACGTGGACGAGAAGGGGAGAGGTCGGAGAAGACGATGGAGATGGGTTTTTATTTTTGTAATTTTTGTAATTTTGTAATTTTCTTTTTTTATATGAAAAATAATTATAATTTAATATTATAAATTCCACTTCAGATGCCACATCAGCGCTTACTGGATTTTCCGTTAAAAACTAACGGTCAACGCCGGTCAACTCTAACGGAGAAATAGTTTAGGACGCAATTGTCATATCGAATACTTTAGGACACAAATGGCACAAAGTTAATAGTTCGGGTTTTCTAGTGGTATTAACCCAATAATTTTTACGAACATTTTCCAACAATCATATTACTATAAAGAATAATATCCTCAAATTATCAGTATTTGTTAGGAAGTTGCATGCCGTAAAGACTCATATCATGATATTATCACAGTAATAATATCATGATGTCACAGTTGTAAAAGGATAAGAATTTCGTTAAAAAATTAAAATTAACGTCATCTTGTAGGTTTACAATATGATGCCATATACATCGTCAAAACTTTCGTTTGTTTGGCGCTAAAGTATCCTCCTTATTATTAGGGGTGGCTATACGGTTCGGTCCGGTTAAACCGGCCTGGATTGATCGGGTGCGATCTTTTCGGGAATATGAGAACAAAAGACGGGATTGGATACAGTCCGGTCTTCACCCGGTCCGGTCCAGTCTTGATTTTAGATTGAGTTTGTGGTTCTTTGGTCACTTTTTGGACTGTCTATAAAATGGCATGTGAAGTGTTATTGATGTTCTTGCTAGTCTAGTGTTCTGTTTCCTATATTTGGCACCCCTGTATTTTCTTCTCTACCGCATCCGTCGTTGAGGGCTATTAGTTTTATTTGTCTTAATCTCTTATTAATAAACTGATGTCGCTCTTATAATAATAAAAAAATCAAAGTATCATTTTGAGTATATAGCATTCTCTTAACATTTCTCCGTTATTAAAAAGAAACGTTAATTATAGCCCTCCTAGACTATAATCGTAACTCTAGAATTTGGAGGGTGGAAATTTTTCTTCAAGAAAGCTAGACATATGCTCATCATAGGTGGGTGGAGAATTTTTTTCTTCTTCCTTTATTGGAATGCAACACTGGCGTGCTACCAATAAGCAAGTCATCCACTATCAGTCCATCATGCATGCATTTCCCAGTTAATTTTTTAAGTCACTGGCGGGTCATAAGGTTTGAAGAAGTCAGAGGTGGTTAACTAATTATGATCTTACTTGGAAAATTGAGATAAAAAATATGTATACGGTGCCACACTTTAAGCGGATTCTATATGTCGACAAAGCATGGGAGAGATTTATGATTCATAAGTAGGAAATCAATATTTACCGACGAAACGTGTTTCAAGGTGCAACGAGAGAATTTTTCTAAGAACTCTGAAATTAAATGTGATAACTACTGTGAAGCAATACAAGAATGTGTAACATTTCGAGAAGTCACCTTGACATGCACCCAGTACAAAAACTGTGGATCAAGACCCAACATGGTTAATATATCTTGATCCAAAAAGATGTGGGATGTTAAAGTTTGTGTCCCAGTTGGAAAATTGCCCATCTCTTTTGGGTGAAGACTCTGGATTTGGGTGCTCTCAACCAAGTCTTCCACTAATTCCGACTTGTACATTCCATTTATTCCATTTTGCAATGAATCTATGGTCATTCCCACAAATGGCAACAAGTGGCCGGATATATATAAATAATATGCATTAGCAGAGTTTAGCATCAAGCAATTAGCAAGCGTTCAATTAGAGTTGTAATTGGAAAAAAAAAAAAACCAGAGAGAGTGATCGTTATTTACCAAAGATGATTTCTTCGTATTCTTCTGGAGGTGGGTGGGTATTTGCGGCTGCAGTAGTCGTAGCACTTCTTCAACAGTTGTGCTTCCTCACTACTACTACAGCGGTGGCCTCTAGAATCATTCTGAGCAATGAGACCGATCGCATGGCGTTGTTGGAGTTCAAGTCCAAGATTCTCGGTGATCCTTTGGGGGCTCTGAGCTCGTGGAATGATTCCACTCACTTCTGTCGTTGGTACGGCGTGTCTTGTTCCAAAAGACACCTTGGGAGAGTCCAGGTCCTCGATCTTCATTCCGAGAAACTCTCGGGGTCCATCTCCCCACATATTGGCAATCTCAGCTTCCTGAAAAAGTTGGTTCTTCTCAACAACAGTTTGAGCGGAGGAATTCCATCTGAAATCGGCCGCCTCCGTAGATTGCATGAGCTCAGAATCTCCGAAAACTCGCTCGAGGGTGAGATCCCATCTAACATCTCAGGATGCTCTGTCCTTACTATATTCAATGTATCACGAAACAAATTGGCGGGACAGCTACCATGGCAGCTTGGATCCTTGAGCAAACTCCAATTTTTTGCTGGAGCATACAACAATCTAACAGGAAGCATCCCCCACTCTTTTGGCAATTTGTCATCTCTGGTGAAATTCCACGTAGTAAACAACCATTTGAGTGGGAGAATTCCTGATTCTCTTGGCCAATTGAAGAGTGTTCTAATCTTGAATATGGTTATCAACAACTTACATGGTGAGATCCCTGCTTCCATTTTCAATCTCTCTTCCCTTTTAACTCTAGCCTTTGGATTCAACCAGCTCCACGGCAGTCTTCCCAAAAACTTGGGAATATCACTTCCGAATCTTCAATGGTTAGATGTGACTGACAACCAATTTAGTGGCAGTGTTCCAGCTTCCTTATCCAATGCCTCCAATTTGGTTATACTACAACTGGCCGTCAATAATTTTACCGGTAGCATGCCTAGTATGAGGAGCTCTCACAAACTTGTGAACTTAATCATAGACGGAAACTCTCTTGGAAGTGTAAAAGCTAACGATTTGAGTTTCCTCTCCTCTTTGACTAATGTTAGTAGCTTGAAAGTAGTGGAAATTTACAAGAATTACTTTGGAGGCAGTTTACCGGAACAAATTGGCAACTTGTCAAAAAATTTGGAGACGTTGAATGTTGCTTCTAATGCATTGGAAGGAAGCATTCCAAGTGGGGTACAAAATCTCGTCAACCTGCAATGGTTGGATGCAAGAAACAACAAACTTACAGGTACCATCCCGTCCGTCATCGGGAACATGCAAGCTCTGCGACTATTGAATCTGAGGGGAAATAGAATTTCAGGATCTATTCCACCAACGTTTGGTAACCTGACCGAGTTGATTGATTTAGATCTAGATGAAAACAATCTATGGGGTGAAATTCCTCTTGGGTTTGAGAATTGTCGAAATTTGCTATATGTGGAGCTCGCATACAACAACCTAAGTGGTGTGATTCCCCCACAAATCGTGATGAGTTCTTCCTCGTTAATCTACTTAAACTTGTCTCATAATCATCTCATCGGTGCCCTTCCGGCCGAAGTGGGAGGACTTGTCAATTTGGAGATATTGGATCTGTCTCATAACATGTTGTCAGGTGAAATACCAACTTCTCTCGGTAGTTGTGCAGTATTGGGGTCACTGTACTTGCAAGACAATCTTTTGCAAGGAATCATTCCTTCTTCTCTTGGTTCACTGAGAGGTATTGAAGTACTGGACATCTCCAGTAATAACTTATCTGGTCAAATTCCAAAATCTTTTGAAGAGATGAAGCTATTACAGCTTTTGAATCTATCTTACAACAATCTCGAGGGTGAAGTGCCATCGAGTGGAGTCTTTTGGAATGACAGCATCATTTCAGTCGTCGGAAATGACAAGCTCTGTGGTGGCATGGCTGAACTTAACCTTCCACATTGTAGCTTCAAACAAAAAAAAAAGACACTATTGAGCCATAAGTCGATCAAGATTGTCGTATTGGTAGTCACGGGTCTATTGTGTTTGGCATTCATGGGTTCTTGCTTGCTTATCTTTTGGTTCATGAAGAGAGGGAAACAAGATGCACTTTCCGTTGATGATTCACAGCTGATATTGTCCTACTATGACCTCCATAAAGCTACAGATGGTTTCTCCGCGACAAATCTTATTGGAGTGGGAAGCTTTGGTTCCGTGTATAAAGGATTCATTGAAGCAAATGGGATTGGAAGCACTATCGCTGTGAAGGTGTTCAACCTTCAGCGCAACGGAGCTTCCAGGAGTTTTATGGCAGAATGTGCGGCTTTGAAGAACATCAGGCACCGAAATCTTTTGAGGATACTCACAGTGTGTTCAGGCGTTGATTATCAAATGGATGACTTCAAGGCTCTCATCTACGAGTTCTTGGCCAATGGTAGTCTGGAAGAATGGTTGCATCCAGTGGGAAGTAGTATAGATGAGCCTCCAAGAATCTTGAGTTTCCTCCAGAGGCTAAACGTCGCTATAGATGTTGCTACTGCAATGGATTATCTTCACCATCAATCTGGAACGCCTATTGTTCATTGCGACCTGAAGCCGAACAATGTGCTTCTTGACATGGACATGGTAGCCCATGTTGGTGATTTTGGGTTGGCAAGATTCCTTCAAACAGTTGTTGATCCCTCTCCACCAGACCATGCATCAAGCTCCATTGGTGTAAAGGGAACAGTTGGCTATGCACCCCCTGGTAAGAGTTCTATGTCTAATATATACAAGTTGCATGATTAGAAAGTTTTTATAGTGTGCTTCTAATCAAAATCATTTCATATTCCTGGTAAATATTGATGATGATCTCAATTGAGCTTAATAAGAGTAATATATGGTTTCATTCTCAAACCTAACAACTCATATAATAAGTATTTGTTATATTTTTATACAGAATATGGTATGGGAAATAAAGTCTCGATACAAGGTGATGTCTACAGCTACGGAGTTCTCTTGCTTGAGATTTTCACTGGAAGGCGACCGACAAATGAGATTTTCAAGAATGGCCTGAGTCTACATGGTTTTGTTGGAAATGCTCTATCAGAAAAGCTAATAGCAAAAGTTGTGGATCCTATTCTTCTCAATGAGCTATCACTTGGCCAAGCAACCCATTCCTACGTCAATAGTAGCAGTAACAACTCAGAGGAAGCCAACTACAACAAAAGCCACATACTAGAGGAGGCTCTCATCTCCATTCTCGAAATAGGTGTTGCTTGTTCTCCAGACTCCCCGGATGAGAGGATTAGCATGAGTGAGGTTGTAACTAGACTTGTCTCTTTGAAAAGGTTGCTTCGTGATAAACTTGCTCGAAGACGAATGGGCGGGAGGTGATGATTAGCTTGCTTTGATTGACAACTTTGATATAGGTGCTTATTCATATGGATGCTTTTTTCTGGATTTAAAGAATGTATTTTGAGTCATATCAAGATTGTATGAATTCAAAATAAAGTTGAGTGTTTAACTCGTTTAACTGTTAGCGTACAACGACAACAGATCGAGCTACGTACATCTAGTTTAAACATAGTGAGATATTACCCATTCTTGTTCTAACTTGCGATTTTGTGCACTATGTTAAAACATGCTACAAGAGATATTGACGTGGAAATGTACGTGCAATGGATGTGCAGTCGCAATCACTGGCGGATTCAGGGGGTGGCCACCCCGGGCCCCGGCCCAGCCCTCCTTTGGATCCGTAGTTAGTATAGTCCTTATGAAATTTTCGATTTTAGACATTCGACCCAGTGTTATTTTATGATATGATTGGGTTTAACTAGAAAGATTATCAAGTTGAACATATTCAAATCACTACTCTAAATTTAGCCTAGAAATTTTAGCCCCAAAGATTATGCATCTAAAAAAACAAAGAAACCTAAAATTCTAAAAAGTTTAAAACGTAAAAGACTAAAAGAAATATGAGGTTTGTTCCCTTAAAATTTTACTAGAGCAGCTGGTGTGCAGGGATGGACACACAATGCAAATTGATTAGTCGATTGATTTATCTAGTGCTGATGCTGCTCGTTTCAACAAGTACTACGAAGAGAACCTTTTCAACAATGAAACATGTGAGAGCTGATTTGCTCAACAAAATGAGCGATGAATTTCTCGCCGATTGCTCAAGTATTTTATTTGAAACAGTATATACTATTGGTATGGATGCAGACTCCTTAATGCATTCCCTAAATTAAAATACAGTAGTGTACAATTTACATTGCAAAAAACTATAATAATTATAATTTTTTTACGGTTCTAATTTTCTAATGAAATGCGGCCCAGTGCTCTTTTGTGTTCTGGATCCGCCGCTGGTCGCAATACATAAAAGGGGACCTCATCATCAATGGCGGGTCTTCTGCCATGGAACTAGAAGAAGGACCTCTTGTTGAAGGGAAGATTTACCACGTTTCTAACTAAAGCTTTGGCTTTTGTTGTGTCTTTTTGGGCTAGGAGTTCCGGTTTGGTGGTGCCAATTTAGCCGCATGATATGTCACTTCCAAAAATTATCATTCACGTACAGAAATGCTGACCATTTGCATGTGTCGGCATTGTCCATATTGAAATATTATGTCTCTTTCGTACTCCCCAAAAATTAAGTTCATAGATTAGCATTACCCATGTTCCAATGCCTATGACATCCATGTGTAAAACAAAGAAATTAACCGTGACGTTATAGATGATGGCTTCATGCCTCGTCCTCAAAATGGATTTGACCCTAATGAGAGGTTATGGAGTATATGATTTTTGACTTCATAGTATGTAATTTTTTTCATCCAAATCATAAAAATTTGTGAAAGAGGTTGCGTCTTATGAAAATTATTGAACAATCAAGTCAAGCAATATACTCGACAGGAATGAATTGTTGAAAGAAAGTTTACAAATTTTGTTGAGACGCGTTGTTCTCCCTACTGTGTTTGGAGGAGATGACTTGGATAGGTTACGGATTGACCTAAGAGAAGGAATGGAACCTTGTGTGTGTATATATGTTGAAGCAAGTTTCCAGAAGTTGGAAACTTGTGTTTGATGAAGTCGTTAAGGAATTTGAGAATTTGGCTTTATAGATAACAAATATGAGCCTTATATTTACACGAAAGTTAGTGGGAGCAACCGAGACAAAATTTACCTTTCTAAATTTGTATGCACATATATATTCTTCCATACGTGCTTATTTATTACACAATATAGATTTATTTGTCAAGTTAAAGCAAATTTCAGCCACAATAATATATTCCATCTCGATCATGATTCATGAGCAAATGATTCAAATCACTTTGCTTAACCGATACCCATCAAAATTTATATATTCTTCCACGATAACGAGTGGAAATTTTAATCAAAGGTATCTAGCTTCAAAATCTATACCCTACACCTACAATTTCACTTAATATTATTTTCCCATAACTCTTAGTTAGATACTTGTCATCCATAGCCTCGATACATGTTATGTTTGGTTGTCAATTAGACTTTTCCCATGATTTCCCCCCAAGCATTTATGTGTGGGTTCTAGAATGAGACGTGGTTAGATTTGCTCCTCTTGCAGATCTTGGCTGTTGTGATTTCCCCCCAGGCCCCAAGCATTTATTTATTAAGGAAGAGCGTTGCAAGTAATAATTTTAGCTTGATGATGCATGTACGTCCTTTGTACTTTACTTCCCCCTTACACTCTCCCGTGGTGGGTTTGGGTTTTGATGTTGCTAGCTTTTTTTTTTTTTTTATTTAACAAAAGATAGATATATATATTGAATCAGATCAGAAGATAGTTACATCCTGGAACCCAGCCAGGCCCGAAAATCAAAAGAACGACTCGCGGTCGGGTACAATGAAAGGGCCTTACGAGCCACCAAATGGGCTACCCTATTATACCTCCGTCCTACAAATCGCACACTAAACCCAGGAGCGCTATGCCAAAACATCCGAAGTTCCTCCAAGATAGCACCCACTCGGTTATCACAGTTATCTGCCCGATTAATCTTATCAATGATAACCTTGGCGTCCCCTTCAAACTGCACCACCTCCAGTCCCAGTTCTAAGCACCAACACACAGCCTCGCGCAAGACAAGCAGCTCCACCACCAAAGGATCATCCATCCCAGGCAACCACACCCCCTTAGCCAACCATACATCCCTCGAAGGAGTGAACAGGACTACCCCACCAGCCCCGTGCGAACCATTCCGAACTGCCCCATCCCACATGCACACCACCCCCTCAGCCATACCCGGATTGGGCCCCAACAGGGGAGGGCGAGAAACACCTCCCTGCACAGGATCCCCTGATAACCTGATCCACTCCTCATACTGCTGCTGAAACTGGCGCATCAAAGCTGCAAAACCAAACTGCTTGCCCTCGAAGACAACCCAGTTACGGGACCGCCAAACACGCCACAGGACACCAATCAAGGCCATAAACAGACGCGGCTGGTGAATCAGAGCCATCAACTTCTTGAGAAACAACGGGAAAGTCTGGCGAGGGAGCCCCTCCCCCAGATAGGCCAGTCCCGAAAGATCCCAAAGGGCACGAGCAACAGGACAATCCAAAAACAAATGCTCCAAAGTTTCCTGGCTTCCCCAGCAGACCGGACACCGAGGGTGAACCTGCACCCCCCTCTCCAAAAGAGCCTCCGTAGTGGGCAAAATACGATTACAGATCTGCCAGACAAAGATTTTAAGCTTAGGCGGGATATTCGAGTCCCAAACACGAATCCAGGTCTGCTTATCCATCCACCCCACCACTGATCGCCACCCCCCTTTTCTCCTATCTATCTCCATTGCCAAATGATAGGCCGATTTTACCGTAAAGACCCCATCCACCGTGGCATGCCAAATTAACTTATCCTCCACATTCTGACGCGGGAGAGGGATAGCCCGAATAGCCTCACAGGTAGACGGATCAAACCACCGCTCTAACTTGCTCTCATCCCATTGTCCTCCCCCTAAACACATAACCTCAGCCACCCGGGGGTACCCGCCCTCTGGCAAAACCCGGGGATTATAAATAGGAGGATCATGCTGCAGCCGAGGGATCCATTTAGAGGCCAACAAGGGCGCCGAGAGACCATTCCCAATTTGCCACCGCAGCCCTTGACTCAGCAGCTGTCTACCAAACAAGATGCTCTGCCAACCCCAAGAGGGTCTGGATCGAGCCGAGGCTTCCAAAAAAGACCCATTAGGGAAATACTTCCCTTTATAAACCTGTGCCAAAAGGGAATGGGGATCATTGAGGATTCGCCACCCAATTTTAGCAAGCAAGGCCTGGTTAAATTGCTCAAAACGGCGGAACCCCAGCCCACCCTCGTGTTTACTACGGCACAAATTCCGCCACGACATCCAATGAATATGCGAATGATCCGCAGAGTCCCCCCACCAAAATCGAGCCACCAGCCTATCTAACAGCCGACAGAGGGAAAGGGGCAACTTAAAGCATGACATCACGTGCAGAGGCAGAGCCAATGCAACAGATTTAATCAAAGTTTCCCTTGCCGCCCAGGATAAGGTTTTCCGTTTCCACCCCTAAAGACGCTCCATCACCTTTTCCTCCAAGTATCTGAACGTGGCCATTTTCGAACGAGCAATTAACGTAGGCAAGCCCAAGTACTTGTCATGGACCCCAACCGCCCCAACACCCAGAATAGCGGCCAAAAACTCCTGGTCTTCCTGGAGGACATTTTTGCTAAAGCAGACTGCCGATTTATCCAGGTTTACCCGTTGTCCACTCAACTCCTCATATTCGTTCAGGACCTCAATCAAGTTTTCACATTCCCGGAGAGTCCCTCGTAAGAACAGATAAGAATCATCAGCAAAGAACAGGTGGGATATGCGCGGCGCACGGGGGGCCACCTTAACTCCCTCCAATTTTTTGTCGGTGATAGCTTTGCGAAGAAGGGCAGCAAATCCCTCTGTACAAAGCACGAATAAAAGAGGAGAGAGAGGATCCCCCTGCCGAAGTCCTCTAGAAGGCGTGAAGAAACCCGAGGGAGTCCCATTCATAAGCACAGAGAACGAGGCCGAACGAAGGCACTCACGAATCCACTCCTGCCAGGTAGAATTAAAACCCATCTTATTCAAAACCGCGAGCAGAAAGGGCCATTCGACTCTATCATAGGCTTTTTCCATATCGACCTTCAGAGCCATATACCCTTTCTTCCCCTTCGTTTTGATCTTAAGATAGTGCATTAATTCATGCCCCAGGAGAATATTATCCACAATTTGGCGTTCTCGAATGAAAGCATTCTGTCCATCAGAGACAATCATAGGCAAAAGGGAAGCAAGACGTCCAGCCATGATCTTAGTGATTATTTTATAAACAAATTGGCAGAGACTGATAGGACGCAACTGGCGCATAGTTTCCACATTATCCACCTTAGGGATCAGAGTGAGCCATGTATGGTTAAAGCTACGAAGCATACGACTCGTAGCAAAGAAAGAACATACAGCCGAAGTCACCGAGTCACCCACAATATCCCAAAAAGCCTTAAAGAACTTCCCAGTAAACCCATCGGACCCCGGCGCCTGTTTAGAGCCCATGGAGAAGACTGTTTTACGCACTTCTGCAGGGAGAACCTCCGCAGTGAGAGCATCATTCATCTCAGGGGTTACACAACGAGCAATAGGCAAAGATGCCACCCGATCAGGCATGTTACCCACTTGGTTTTCTGAGGCAAACAGGATCTGATAGAAAGAAGTAGCTACCTCAGCTTTATCCTTCTCATCAGTAACCCACTCCCCGTCCTCCCTGCGAAGGCCAGCCACAAAATTTCTCTTACGCCGGGTCCTGGTCACTGTGTGAAAATAGGAAGTATTTTTATCACCCTTTTTGAGCCAATGGACCCTGGACTTCTGTTGCCAGAACAGTTCCTCCGCCTCCCATTGCCGGCTCAGATCAGCCTCCAACCCCCGGATTGCATCCCAGTCAATAGGTTGAATTAGCTTGATCCTATCAATCTCGCCCTGGAGAGTCCGAATATTCCGCAAGGAATTAGTCGTGCCCGCCCTACTCCAATCATAAAGCAGATGTCTCAGCTTTTTCAAGCGCTCCCACAGGCAGAACATAGGGGTCCCCTGAACCTCCTCCTGCCAGACATAGGTTACCATCGCCCTAACTTCCGGGTTCTCCGCCCAACGAGCATCAAACCGAAAGAGGGGACGGCAATGGCGCCTATAAGGCTTATCCGACAGGAGGAGGGCTCTATGATCAGAGCCTTGATCCGTAAAGTGCTTCAGTAAGGTTTCCGGAAAACGATCTAACCAGGCCTGAGAGCACAGGGCCCTATCCAATCGCTCTCTGATACAAGCAATGCCCATTCTCTTGTTAGTCCAAGTGAAGAGATCACCTTGGTAACCAGGATCATGGAGTCCCAAGTCATTAATAAAGGTCCGCAAACTGCTCGAGTTATTGGCATTCCAAGGATTACCCCCGTCTTTTTCACTTTCCGACAGAATCGTATTAAAATCACCAATAACCACATAAGGGATAGTGAAAGTAGAACAGATCTCTTGAAGGTGGGCCAACTGGGCCATTCTAACAGAAACTGAACAACTAATATAAACACAAACCACAATATAAGAAAAGCCAACTTCATTAATCTGGGTGCAAATACAGAAGCTGGAAGAATAAAAAATAAAAGCATCAACATCGGGGGACCAGGCCAGCACCAGACCCCCAGACGCATCAACCGCATCAACAAAAAAACACCGAGAAATATCAAAGCCTAAGCCCCGCATACGACGGGAGACAACACGCCGGCTAGACCGAGTTTCAGAGAAAAACACGAGCTCCGGACTGTTGGAACGGACCAAACCCAAAGCCGTTTGGAATGTGAGAGAAGGTCCAATGCCTCTCACATTCCAGGCGAGAAGCCTCATTTAACCGGCTGGGGCCACTCCAGGCTGGCTTCCTCCACCTTCCCCTGCTCCTCCATGTCTTCAACAAATTGTTTTTTAGGCGTGGGCGGGACCCCCACCTCACCCTCCACATCCTCCAAGGCTCGCTTTAGCCCCCCACTCGACTGGTTAGCCAAATTGGACCCATACTCATCCAATTTCCCAACAACCAGTCCTGCCGAACTGCACTCCCCAGCCCCGGCATTACCCTCCTTGCTTCCTCCCAACACCTTGTCACCTTCCTTCTCTGCAATATTTAGGCCTACCTCAAAGGCCGCCACCACCTGACTGACCCTACCCTTAGGGGGAGCGGAAGATGTAGCCATCAGCGGACTTCTACGTTTGATCATAAAGCCTTGAGAGTCCTCCCCCGAGCCTGTGCCGTCCGATCCACTCTCCGTGGGGCCCATCACCCCACTCAAGGGAGAAGGGTGGACGTGGTCACCATCACCCATCAAAACATCATCCCTTCCTCCCCTTTGCTCCACCGCCTTCAGGGGGACCTCCACCGCGCGCCCCTGATCCTTCTCCAACACACTCCCCAGCGCCTTCCTGGGCTTCCGATCCGCACGATCAGCTACTGGCCTGGGATCATTTTTGCCCACAGCAGCCACCGATGGAGAACCCGGCCCAGCAGCCATGCTCCCCTGCTCCGACGGCTGGGATTTGCCTCGGCGCAGCTTCCTCTTCTTGGGAGTGCCTTCTTCGCCGCCCATTCTTGGCCCTGCAGCCTTCGTTGTCGCCGATGGTCCCTCCTCCCGCTGCCCAGCAGGTTTCATGGGCATCACTTTGGCGCCTTCGCTCCCAGTTTTGAGATTCCGTGGGACGGCTTTAGCCCGGCGCGGCTTCCCCTTCCTTGGCGTCTCAGCCATTGCTGTGGCCGGAGGGATAGCCTCTGCAAGCCGTACTTCATCACCATTCTGCACTCCCGGCGCATCTACCATGTCATCATCAGAGTCATTATCCAGGAGGAGGCGACGACGGCGCGTGTCCGCATGAGCTCTTTCAATTTGATCTTCATAGAGGACATCATCCTTTCCCAGCCTTACTGGAGAGGAGTCCTGGCTGTCGTGTAGCAACGCAGCATCATCATCAGAAGTCTCCTTCCTAACCCCCGATGGCTTCGACCGGTGCTTGCCTAGGCGAACTTTGGGGTGGCGGTGGAGAACGACTCTTCCCGGGCTACTACGTCGGGCCGGTGATCGTTCCTTCCCCTTCCCTTTGGTTGACATCTGCTGTACCGGGAGAATTTCCTTTGCAGCCGCGACCGAGGGCTCGGCCTTCAGCATTTTCCCAACCGCCTCACCAGCCGCACCCATCGGTTTGCCTTGCCCCTGGCGATTAATCCACACAGATCGCCTAGCTCCCCCCATCATGGGATCGCTCACATCATCCTCATAAATTTTGCGACCCACTTGTTTGGTAATCATATGCGGTCCGAACCGCTCCTGACCGTTTGGTGGATCATGAATGCAGTCACGGCGAGCATGACCAACCCGGCCACAGCGGAAGCAAAAATTCGGCAAAAATTCATATTTGAGGCTCACCCAAAATCCATCCATATCTTCACAAATTGCCATTAATTGCGAGCGGAGCGGCTTTGCAAAATCGATAATAGTATTCACTTTGATAAAACGCTCTCCTGAATCTTTACAGGCAAAGATTCCTGAGTCCAGCACCTTGCCCATGGTAGTGGCTATTAATTTTTGGCCAAACAACTTCGTACACAGGTCCTCTTGCACTCCCCAGAGCTGCACACGAAAAGGGGCCTTAGCCATTTCATCAAAAACGCCCTTCGAGATGGCCGGGGACCATTGACGAAGGGTCAGCAGGCGATCCTTGATGATCCATGGGTTTCTCGAGAGAGCCCACTGTTTGGCCTCCTCGTTCGGCAGCACAATTTCATAGAGACCCTGCTTAGTTTTCAGCACCTTGAGCTGGCCACGAATCTTCCATGCATCAAGCAGCCCTTCACGCAGCTCCATAGTCGTAACGCGATCGATAGTAAACAGCCGTCCCAAAAGAGTGCGAGAGGCTCGGTACCGGGTCGATTGCACCTCTTCCAGGGAAAATTGCACTACTTGGTCGTTCGCAACATGGGCCATTTTGCACAGCTCCTGGTTAGTAGAAAAAATAGAAGGATGAGGATCCTTTGACCTAGACTCGTGCGACGTAATCACCCCAGGACACGGGCAAGGGCCTCGCCCAGGGGATTGACTATTGAGCAGAGATGTATAAGGAATAAAACTCGAGTTATCATAGGAAAATAACCAAGTACCTGGGTCAGTTCTCCACGCGGACGAGAGAATTGAAAATGCCGAGGTAACAGGTCTTCCTCCAAACCAGAAGCAATCGAATGATATGCTCATAGGTTTCGGTGGGGATAATATATATAGAGCTGCCAAATCCAGCTCCAAACCGCCTCGGAGAGTCCCAGTACGCATAGGAGTTGGATGTCGATGAGGACACGGACTGTTAACAAATAACGGATTTGGGGGAGGATAATCCCGATGGGTCTTATCAAACCGGCGCAAATCTCTTGTCCCCGAGATAATAGGGGAATCAAATTTTGAACCGACCACCCAATCCTGGCTCGACCGAAAATCCCGAAATTGGGGGGATCCGCCGGCGGGCACTTCAGTCGGCCCATTGAGAGGCTCCGACGAAGAAGCATGGGGTCGGAGAATATGCAGTGATCGTACTTCCACCGCCTCCGCGGCAAAGTCCCGACCCTTCCCCCCAAACTGATCAGCCATGAAGTCGCCATAATACTTATTGTTTATACCAGCTTCCCCAACCATGGATAACAGTGACTCGTCACCTACCAGGTCAACCGATGAGGGGATCTGAGCCCTCCATGCAACCATGGGTAACAGCGACTCGTCGCCTACCAGGTCTACCGATGAAGGGAGAAAAAATCGCCAGGCCTTACGCCGGCCACACCTGCCTTTCTTTGCAGGTCTAGGATTAAGAGGAACCCTATCGAGGGTTAAACTGAAATCTTCACACCGCGGTCGCTTGCATTGGCGACCGATGTTCTTCTCTTCCTTGTAGATGTTCTCCGGCAGCCAGGGCTTCCCGTCGCATCTACGCTGCACTGTGCGAGCCGTTCCAAACCCATGGATAGATTTCACGAGCCGTACTCTAGCGTTGCAAGTGCGGACGCCATTTTGATTCCTTAAGCTTTGCAAAAGGATGGATGAAAGAAGCGCTAGGAGCAATCCACCCAGTCGTCGCAAGCAAACGAGGAAAGAGGAGAGAGCGTCTCTCATCAGAGATTTTTTTTTTTTTTTTTCCCCGTACGTTTAAAAAATATGGATTTGATGTTGCTAGCTAGCTACTTTGATATGAGAAAGTTCACTGGTCATATTTCTCGTGTTGCTTGCTCATCATATGGTTTTATAGTCAAAGGTTGTTTTTTCACTTTAATGAATCTTCCAAGATTTATTATGGGACCTTTATTTGATAATTCAAGTTAACAGAATGTCTCGCCCAACATTGCTAGAAGGAAGGCCTCTCGTTTGAGCCAACAGGCAGGCATTCCTCTCAAGGCGGCGTTGGGGCAGCGGCGGATCCAGGATATAGAAGTGCACTGGGTCGGATTCGAACATAAAATTAGATACCGTAAACAAAAAAAAATGATAGTTTGCATTACAATGTCAATTGTACACGACGGTCTTTTAATTTAGCAAATTCGTCAATAATTGAGTCTTCATCCATACCAATAACATACTCTCTCTCAAAGAAAATAGTCAAGCAATCAGCAAGAAATTCATCGCCCATCTTGTTGCGCAAATCAGTCTTCACATGTTTCATTGCTGAAAAGGATCTCTCTGTAGTAGCCGTTGAAATAGGCAATGTCAACACTAGACGAATCAACCGACAAATCAATCTGTACCGTGCTTCCATCCCTGTTTCCACCAGCTTCTCTAGTAATTTTGCAAGGGAACAAACATCATATTCCTGACTATGAACCACATGATCGGCATAATATCCTAACTCGTTCTTCAAACAATTCATCTCATTGCCTTCAAAGTCTCGAGGATAAAACTCTTCAGCAAGTCTGTAAATATTTTCTTCATCAAAAGACCGGAAAGAACTTTTAGGGTCCAGTGCACCACTCAACTGCAGCAATCTGACTGATGACTCATTGAATCTTGAATTCAATGTTCCCAACTGAAAATCTATGCATTGATTAAAGTATTCAAAATGGTAGCGGTGCTCAAGAGTTGTTTGCTTCTCACCACGTCCAAGTGTAGCATTCATATTAGGTACCTTTATGGCATGTTTTGAGCAAAAAGATTTTACCTCTTGGAGTAGCTTGTCCCATCCTTCATCCCGTAGCTTTTGAAGTTTAACTTTTGCCATGGAAACAAATCCAACTGCAGCTACAATGTCAACAGATTCTTGTTGAAATGCTTGACAAAGAAAATCCGTGATATCCATAATCCCTTTCATCAAGTGAAGATTGAACACAAACTCAAAAGTCTTGATATTTTTTGAAGCACCTCTGGCTTGAGCTCGTTGTTCTCCTTCTTTAGAACGGCAAAGATCCTCTAGCACTACACATGTTGCATTGAACATGTTCATAATGCTCAATATGGAATGATAATGAGATCCCCAACGAGTTGGCCCCGAACGCTTTAAGGATGTCATTTGATTAGCTCCTTGTCCAGATTGAATTTCTCCAACATCCAACATACCATCAAGATCTTTTTTGTGAATTGCTTGCAACTCCCTGATCCGTTTAGGAGAAGCCTTCACAACGTTTATGATACAATCCAATATGGAAAAGAAATTCCATATAGGATCACATACCTTTGCAGAAGTAACCAATGCCAACTGTAATCTGTGAGCAAAATAGTGGACAAAATAGGCATATGGGCAATCTCTAAGAAATAATGCCTTGACTCCATTAAACTGTCCTGACATATTACTAGCACCATCATATCCTTGACCTCTCAATTTTTCAATTTGAAGGTCATACTGAGAGAGAACGTCACAAATAGCTTGTTTTAGTGTTTCTGCAGAAGTATCAGCTACACTCTTGAGAGCGAAAAAGCGTTCAGTTACTATACCAGAAGAACTGACATACCTCAAAATAATAGACATCTGTTCCCTTCCTGCTTCATCAACAAGAATAGAGAAACAAGAATCTCCAATCTCCTCGCGTATCTTACAACGCACTCTATTTGCTATGATTCCCAATATCTCCTTCTGAATGCTTGGTGAAGTGTATTTCGCATTTCCTGGTGCGTTACGAAGAACTACACTATTGATTTGATCATTCAACTTCGCTGCAAAACCAATCCAAGCTAGAACATTCCCCGGATTCAAAGAATCATCAGATTCATCATGCCCTCTAAAAGAACTTCCTTGTAAAGCCAACTGTTTGACAACCATAATTGTTGTTTTCAACCGCAATCGATGCTTAAGAACTTCTTCTCCACCAATTCTGTGCATCACTTTATCAATATGACCGGAGGGTTTCATCAAGGCATCAGCCGCTGTAACACATTTATTATGGCTTGAAGAAGCTGATGAACCAACATGAACAAGGAACACACATTTCTTACCATTAACCCTCTTCTAATTATCAAATCCATCTTTGACTAGTGCAGAAGTTTGATTTCCATTCATCTTGTCTCTAAACAAAAAACATGGGAAACAATATGCTTTATGTGTTGTAGGAGAATACTCCAACCAATCAAATTGTGAATACCATGCTTCTTGAAAGTGACGAATTTTATCTGGATATTCTCGCGGCTTATAGTATGCGAGTTTAGGTTGATAAGCCTTGTGTATTAGGTATTTTCTCCTAACCTCATCTCTCAACTCAAGAGCCCAATCACATATTTGTTTCCTCTTTCCTGGATCTCTTTCAATTTCAACTCCACTATCAGATGATGGAAGTAGATTACCGGATACAGGAGCAGTAGATGATTCATTCTGAACAGGAGAGGAAGATGGTTGACCTTCATTAGGAGGGACTTCTTCGGTCTGACACGTTTCAGATTCCTTACGTTGATAGTAAGAAAACAATGTTGTTTTCGCCTTTTTATTTGGTGGTTGAGAAGATGTCATGATGAAATATATTGAAATTTGCATAATCAATTAAACATATACACACCGCAGTCAAACACTAGATTCTAAGTAATAAAGTAAATTTGGATACAAAATTTACCGAGTATGATATATGAGAAATCCTAATATGAAATTCTATGTTAATTTCTTAATGCATAATTGCACTATACAAACTTAGTTTCTAATTAAATAAGACTAATTAAAGTAAGACACTAAGATCAATAGGCAAATTGCAATTACCATTTACCTGTTGTTGTCCTTGTAGTAAATTGCAATCACAAAGTAAATTGCAATCACAAAGTAGCCGCTATTGTTGTTGTCCTTGTAGTAAATTCACTAAATTGCAATCACAAAGTAAATTGCAATCACAATTCACAAACTAGCCACTGCCCACTGCGGAGAAACTAGAAAGGAGGAGCTGGCCAATTGATGGGGTCTCCGGCCGTCCGGCGCGGGGCAGGGGGAGGTGGGGAGCAGCAGCCAGCGATCAGGTTTGTACTCTGTAGTCTGTTCGTCTTCTTTTTTTTTTTTTTTTTTTTGTTCCCAGACTTGCAGGGAAAGCTAAAAAGGAGGCAGGGGCCAGGGAGCCGGGTCTGTAGTATTATTAATTTGGGTCTGTTGTCTATTAGTTTGGGTCTTTTAATTTGGGTCTTTATCTTTTAGATAGGTTTGGGCTGGCGGGCTGGGACTGGATCTTGGGACTGGGGCTGGGCCCAAATAATTATGCACTATAATTATGCTGGGTTGGGTCTTGGGGAGGCAGGGAGGGCTGGGCCCGGGCCCAGTCTGGCCCCCCCCTGTATCCGCCGATGCGTTGGGGCGGTACCTGGGAATCCAAGCTATCCATGAAAGAGTGAACAAAGACAGATATCAATCCCTCCTCCTTCGGATTCAGAGGCGGATGGCCCCCTGGAAAGCTAAGCGACTTTCTTTTGTTGCTCGTCTTACCTTAACCCAATCTGTTTCTGCTGCTTTGCCTGTCTATAATATGCAGACTGAGCTGCTCCCGACCAGTGTGTGTAAAGCAGTGGATAAACTCAACAGAAACTTTATCTGGGGGGACGAGGAGGACAAAAACAAGATGCACTTAGTGTCCTGGGAGAAAATGGCGAGGCCCAAATCTCAAGGCGGGGTGGGTATCCGGACCACTCGCGAAACCAACTTGGCCATGCTTGCTAAATGTGGCTGGCGTCTGCTTCAAGAGAAAGACAGTCTCTGGACACAGTTGATGCGAGCAAAGTATGGGCGCAATCGACAAGGGCTTGATGTGATTCGGCCAGTTCAGGGAAGTTCCTTCACCTGGGCCAGCATATCTAAAACGGCTAGTCTTCTAAAAAAAGGTTGTGCGTGGAATATTAAAAATGGGAGGAAAACTCACTTCTGGCTTGACATCTGGGTTTCGCAGGTACCGCTCAGGGATCTCGCGATCGACAACATTCCGACTGAGCTGGAAGGAGCTAAAGTTGCTGATATGGTCGATAAGGATGGCTGCTGGGATACGGACCTCTTCTCAAATCTGCTCCCCGGGGAAATGGTTCAAAAGATCTTAAGCATAGCAGTGGACAAGGACTCTGAGGAAGATGACCAGCTCTTTTGGTCGGATACCGCGGATGGAAATTTCTCCACTAAGTCTGCTTATAACCTCCTAACGCAGCGCCAACCGGATCAAGACGAGAAAGTTTGGAAAAATATTTGGAGGCTTCCAACCCCGGAGAGGGTCAGGGGCTTCATGTGGCAGGCCTTCTTGAATAAGCTGGTGACGAACTCCTTGCGTCATTCCAGGAAGCTCTCTGCCAGTCCCTGCTGTGGGAGATGCGTGGGACAACCGGAGACAGTCATCCATATACTCCGGGATTGCCCGCCGGCGCTCTTTTTCTGGGCACGCCATGTTCCCTCTGAGAGGCAGGCGGCCTTCTTCAGCTCCCAGCAGCAAGATTGGATGCGGGCCAATCTGACCAGCAGCGAATCGACGACCACAGGGATTGAGTGGCCGGGTTTCTTCAGCATTGCTGCCTGGCTCCTTTGGAAGAATCGCAACTCGGCAGTCTTCCACGGAACTTCGGCTGCTTTGACTCCACCAACTCTTGAGCACTCTATTTTGGTTAAAGCTAAGCTGTGGCATGACTCTTGGAACTCGGTGTCTGGTCTGCTGGATAACAGGATGCGACCAGCTCATCGT